ACAGCGTTCCTTGAAGGTGGGCGCCATCCACTGCAGGACCGGGTGCTGAAACTCGAGTGAGAGGCGGGCCCGCACCAGCAGGCGGAAGAGCTGCAGGGCGTCGACCATCCCGGTCCCAGCAAGCCGGTTTCGCTGGCTCTTCAGGGTGGATAGATAGATAGATAGATAGATAGACGTTAATTCCCAAAAAACAAACCTTTAAATGCCATTTTCTAAGCTATCACTGTCCTCCTCACCCTGGTTATGTACCATGCTGGCATGATGAAGAAGGGGGCTTTCCTAACTGTCCTCCTCAACAGAGGGTTTCCTTTCTTCAGCCTGCTCTGGCTGCACTGTGTGTTCTCTCTCTCTACATTTACTCATGTTTGATTTTTCCCAATATTTTCCCCTCCTGTTCCAAGGTCCCTGGGCCAGAACATGGTGATTCAGCCACCTTCAGTGAAACTCTCCTGCACAGTGAGAAATGGGAACAGCATCAGTGGCTACTCTGTACCCAGGTAACAGGAGAAACTGGGGAATCTCCCTCGGTACCTCCTGAATTACTTCACAGAGTCCAGCAAAGACCAGGACTATGGGATCTCCGCTCACTTCTCTGCTTCCAAAGACACATCCAATAACATCAGCTAACCATCACTTAAGACATTCCAGAGTTCAAGGCTGATTATTGCTGTGCTACATGGCACAAGAGCACTTGTCAATGGCAGCAACAGGGAAGCGAGACCAACCCCTCCTCTGCCCTCAGAGCCTGGAGGGAGCTGTGCCTCCACTCTCCCTCAATGCTCTCTCTGTCAGTTTTGGGGATGTGAGTGGTTCTTTGCCCTCCTCATCCTCTACTCCTTTCATGGGGAGGAAATAACATAACTCCCCTAGCTCCTGTCACACCTTCTGAAAAAACCTGTGTCCCACACACGCACCTCCCTCCTTCTGGATGGGCACTCTGCAAAGCCTGGATGAAGAGTGGGCAGCGCCCAGGACAGATTCAAGGAGAAGGGTGTCAACTAGAAGGGAGGAATAGGCTGCAATCAGACCTAGACAGGTTACAGGGGTGGGCAGATGAGAACAGGATGAGTTTCAACACTGACAAGTGCAAGGTGCTACACCTGGGGAGGAAGAACCAGCAGCATACCTACAGGCTGGGGAACTCCCTTCTCGTCAGTGCAGAAGCAGAAAAGGATCTTGGAGGCATTATTGATGCCAAAATGAACATGGGCTAGCAGCGCGGGGACGCGGTCAGGGAGGCCAACCACACCTTGTCACGCATCCACAGATGCAACTCAAGCAGGTCCAAGGAGATGATCCTCCCCCTCTATGCAGCACTGGTCAGGCCACAGTTGAAGTACTGCGTCCAGTTCTGGGCGCCGCACTTCAGGAGGGATGTGGACAACTTGAAGCAGGTTCAGAGCAGGGCCACCCGCATGATCGGGGGCAGCAGGGCAGGTCCTATGAGGAGATGCTAAGGGACCTGAACCTGTTCAGCCTCCACAAGAAGAGGCTGAGGGGGCATCTAGTGGCCTGTTACAAACTAGTCAGAGGGGACCAGCAGGCATTGGGGGAGTCCCTGTTCCCCCGAGCACTACCAGGAGTGACTAGAAATAACGGTCACAAGCTAGCAGAGGGTAGAGTCAGACTAGACATCAGGAGGCGCTACTTCACTGTCAGGGCGGCTAGGATCTGGAACCAACTTCCAAGAGAAGTGGTGCTGGCTTCTACCCTGGGGGGCTTTAAGAGGAGGCTAGATGAACACCTTGCTGGGGTCGTTTGACCCCAGTACTTTTTCCTGCCATGGCAGGGGGTTGGACTTGATGATCTGCTCAGGTCCCTTCCGACCCTACCTACTACGAAACTATGAAACTCCAGTTGGAGCCTCTGGTGACACTGCCCCTGCTCCCTGGCTGCAGTTGCCTTTCACATGCCCAAGAGCAGAGGGCCCTGGAGAGGGGCTGGCTACAGAAATCCCCACGTCCCTTGCAGCAGGAAAGGCCAGTCAAGTTTCCACCTGCCAGGAGAAAAGGCAGCATGTGCCAGAAATGAGGCTCTGCGAGCTCAGACTGCCACAGTCAATCCAAGCTGCAGTAACTGTAGGACCCAACTGGGCACCCCTGGTCCCTGTCAAGTGTCACCGAACAGGGGTCCTTGTACAGCGAGACCTTTTCTTGCAGACTGATCCCTACTTGCAGGTGGCCCCTCCCCTGTGTCCAGTCAGACGCTGGGGCCAGAGGATGTCAAGACAGCACCTTGCATTGAAGCCCAAGTGAAAACCATACGACCACCCTCTGCCCATGGGAACAAACTCCATGCCCTGAGTGTCTCAGTCCTTTGAGGCACTAACTCTGTGGGATGAGCTTGACTTTGAGATGAGTTTGCAGGTGGTGGGGGTTGTCTCTGCCATCCTCATCCACCACTCCATTCATGGGGAAAAGGGAGCATAACTTCCCTGCCTCCCTTCTCACCTTCATAGAAGACCTTTTTCCCCCCCACATCTACCTCCCTCCTTCTGGATGGGCCCTCTGCATGGCCTGGCTGAGGAATGGGCAGTGCCCAGGACAGACTGAAGATGGGCGTCCTCTCCTTATACAGTGGATTTTTATGCAGTGAGATCCTTTCTTATGGATGAATCCCTGCATGCACGTGGCTCCTCCCCTGTGCCCACAGGGGCCAATCAGACAGGAGCACATTAGCAACAAGGCCCCACTTCACTGCTCCCCTCCCCTCCACTTCCCCCCACTGCCTATATAAGAGGCAGGCATGGGAGGGCATTTTCAGTGGGTTTGTCCCTCTCTCTCCTGCAAGTGCTGGTGATCTCCTCGCCATGCTGTGGGCTCCCCTCCTTGTCCTGCTGGGGACGTGGTGCACAGGTGAGAGTGGGGAGAGGGATAATTACACAGAGAAGTGGCTGCTGAAGCCAGTTCCCCAAGCACAGGTCCAGCAGGAGGGGAACCCTGGGCGGATGTGACAGGTGTCTGCATGTTGTTTTCCAGGTGCCAGATCACAGTCTCTGCTCACTCAGCCGCCCGCAGAGTCAGTGTCCCCAGGAAACACTGTGAAACTCTCCTGCGCCGTGACCAGTGGGACCAGCATCAGTGGCTACAGTGTGCTCTGGTACCAGCAGAAACCTGGGACCACCCCTCGGTACCTGCTGTATTACAAGTCGGATTCTGACAAGCACCAGGGCTCCGGGGTCCCCGCTCGCTTCTCTGGCTCCAAAGACACGTCCAGTAACACCGGCTAATTTACCATCGCCGGGGGCCCAGGACGAGGCTGACTATTACTGTACTGTGTGGCACAGTGATGCTTGTCACAGTGACACAGCCACAGGGGGAAGTGAGACAAAAACCTCATCTGCTCTTCCTCAGCCGGGGCTCTGTGGGAGCCAGCAAGGAGCCGTACCAAGGGCAGCAATCGCTTGTGCAAACACCCCATGAAGTGTAATGTCTGCCTCTGCAGGGGAGAGCCTGGTTCTCTGCCAACCACCCTGTCTGAGTGGGATGTAGGGAGCTCTTCCCGTGTTTTCCCCCACGGAGCCCCTCTGCTCTCTGCCCTTCTTCCTCCTCATTCTCTGCTCTTTTGTGGAGAGAAGGGACCAATGACTTCCTGGCTCCCATCTCACCTTGTGAGAACCCGTGTCCCCCCATCCCAGCCCTCGCCTCCCTCCTCTTGGATGCAGACCGCACACAGACTGGCAGGAGTTGCAGCCTCCAGGGACAGAGGGAGGAAGGATGGCAGCAGCTCCAGCCGCAGCCTCAGTGACATCCCTCCTCAAGTGGCCAGAGGCAGGACAGAGCTGCGAAGCTACCCCTCTCCTACCTGACTCCTTACCACCTTCCCAGTGTCACCCACCATTACACAGCCGCAGCCCTGTCCTCTCAGCATGTGAACAAACTGTTAGTCTTGGAGGAAATGCCGGCGAGACCCTTCCTTTACTTTTAAGATGAGGAGCCAGGACAGAGAGAGATGTGGGGGCAGCAGAGACTTTCCTCTCTGCCCTCAGCTCTGATTAGAGCACTCACCAAGGTTTGGGGGCAGGGCGATGACAATGACAATGACAATGACCTTCACCTACACTGAGGCCTTAGGGGAACGACACTTGAGTCTCTTGGCCCCAGAGGAGCCTTCTCTGTGCACCCTTCTGGGTCACTTTGTCCCTGAGATTGGACTGGGTTTTATTTGCACATGGAAAACAAAACAGTTCTTTCCCATGTCCCTAACTTTCTCTGAGAGCAGCCAGGAAGCAGAAGCCACATCTGCACGAAGGGGCCATTCTCATCTCCAGAGGTTTAAGTAGGACTCAAAGACCATTTGGTTCAGGAAGTCAAGCTGATCTGGATCCCACCATGGCCTGAGCCCCTCTCGTCCCCGTTCTGGTCACCACGCTGGCATGGTGAGGAAGGGCCTTTTCTAAGTAACTTCCTTAACAGAGGTTTGCCTTTCTCCAGCCTGCTCTGGCTGCAATGTGTGTTCTCTCTCTGTACATTTACTCACATTTGATTATGCCCAATGTTTTCCCCTTCTGTCCCAGGGTCCCTTGCCCAGAACATGGTGACTCGGCCACCATCAGTGTCTGTGTCTCTAGGACAAACCTAAACTGGCCTCCTCTGAGGACAAGAGATATCGAACGAGTGCAGAGTCAGTGTACCAGTAGGAGCCTTACAGGGCCCTCATGCTCATTATATCTGATGCTATGCGCAGTGCAGACCCTCCAGCATCCCTGACCAAGTCTTGGGTTTCCACTCCAGTAACACAGCTACGCTGCCCATTGCTGACCTCCAGGCCCAGGATGAGGCATTTCATTACTGCCAGACATGGGACAGCAGCACTTTCCACAGTGGCACTGTGCAATGGGGACGTGAGACCCAGGCTTTCTGCTCTCATACCCCACCCTTACAATTTATGTTCACAGTGGTCTGAGAGCCAGGCCTCCATCCAACTATAGGCCAGTCAGTCTCACCTCCATCCGTGGCAAAGTCTTTGAAAAAATTATCAAGGCTTACATTTGTGAGAGCCCGGCAGGACAAATTATGCTGAGGGGAAACCAGCACGGGTTCATGGCAGGCAGATCGTGCCTGACCAATCTAGTTTCTTTTTATGACCAGGTTACGAAACGCCTGGACACAGGAGGAGGGGTGGATGTCGTATACTTAGACTTCAGGAAGGCCTTCGATATGGTATCCCACCCCATACTGGTGAACAAGTTAAGAGGCTGTGACTTGGATGACTACACGGTCCGGTGGGTGGCGAATTGGCTGGAGGGGCGCACCCAGAGAGTCGTGGTGGATGGGTCGGTTTCGACCTGGAAGGGTGTGGGCAGTGGGGTCCCACAGGGCTCGGTCCTTGGACCGATACTCTTTAATGTCTTCATCAGCGACGTGGACGAGGCAGTGAAATGTACTCTGTCCAAGTTTGCAGATGACACAAAGCTATGGGGAGAAGTGGACACACCGGAGGGCAGGGAACAACTACAAGCAGACCTGGACAGGTTGGACAAGTGGGCAGAAAACAACAGAATGCAATTCAAGAAGGAGAAATCCAAAGTGCTGCACCTAGGGAGGAAAAATGTCCAGCACACCTACTGCCTAGGGAATGACCTGCTGGGCGGCACGGAAGTGGAAAGGGATCTTGGAGGCCTAGTGGACTCCAAGATGAACATGCGTCGGCAGTGTGACGAAGCCATCAAAAAAGCCAATGGCACTTTATCGTGAATCAGTAGATGCATGACGAATAGATCCAAGGAGGTGATACTTCCCCTCTATCGGGCGCTGGTCCGACCGCAGTTGGAGTACTGCATGCAATTCTGGGCGCCGCACTTCAAGAGGGATGTGGATAACCTGGAGAGAGTCCAGAGAAGGGCCACTCGTATGGTTAAGGGCCTACAGACCAAGCCCTACAAGGGGAGACTAGAGAAACTGGATCTATTCAGCCTCTGCAAGAGAAGGTTGAGAGGCGACCTTGTGGCTGCCTATAAGTTCATCACGGGGGCACAGAAGGGAATTGGTGAGTATTTATTCACCAAGGCGCCCCCGCGGGTTACAAGAAATAATGGCCACAAGCTAGCAGAGGGCAGATTTAGATTGGACATTAGGAAGAACTTCTTCACAGTTAGAGTGGCCAAGGTCTGGAACGGGCTCCCAAGGGAGGTGGTGCTCTCCCCTACCCTGGGGGTCTTCAAGAGGAGGTTAGATGAGTATCTAGCTGGGGTCATCTAGACCCAGCCCTCTTTCCTGCTTATGCAGGGGGTCGGACTCGATGATCCATTGAGGTCCCTTCCGACCCTAACACCTATGAATCTATGAATCTATGAATCCACTTCACTAAAGTAACGGACAAGTTGCTTGTCACAAACAGCCCCGGTCACAAACCTCCCAGGAGACATGCAGGGATACAACAGGAGAGGGACCTGTTTCTAGGCTCTTGCTCCCGCTGCTACCTGCAGGGAGTGTCAGGCTGCATGGTGATAGCATGCACTCAAAGGAGTAGGTGCCACAGCGGCTTCACTTCTCTGAGCACTTTGTGCCAAGCACCCAGGCTGGGCTGCGCTGCCCGAGTGCCCAGGCTGCTAGTGCTCAGCAGCCATCGCTCCTGCAGAAGCAGCAGGACATGCTGAAATGAGCAGCTAGCACTTTGCTTAGCCCCGCGACTGCCCTTGCTCTTTTTATTTCTGTGGAGCAGTTAGACCTTAGCTCAACACTCGTTACTCAGCACAATGTGGAGATGCTACTTGCTGGAAAGGGCAGATCTATTCTGCGATGTGATGTGAGCGCTCCTAGCATGGGATATCCTGCTTGAACATATGGACATGCACACTCCAAAGGTATTTAACACTGGATAAGGGTGCACGCAGCCTGGCCCTTGCGAAATCAGCCTTCAGTTCTCACGGCAATGCCAAGTTCTTCCACCAGGTGGATCCTTCCTCTATCCGGGCTGGACCTGAGCCCCTGATGTCAGGCACAAGGTACTGGGGCAAAGCAGTCTCCAGGCTGGGGTCTTTGCTCCCCCAGCTGCCCCCCTGTTTCCATCTCAAGTGCAGGAGCCAAAGGGAAACCAACTCTGCAGCTGCTGCCTTTCAAAGCACTTTGTCTGTGCGATGAGCGTCATGTTTCCCTCACTAATTCAATTATATGCAGGAAAGTTTCTGTGGGGGAAGGGGAGGTGAGAGCAGCAGCCAGTGAGGGGGAGGACAGATTTGCATAAAGGGGCTGATCTCAGCTCCCGGGGTTTAATTGCGACTCAGAGGTTCCCAGCCAGAGACCGGTTTGCCTGAGGAAGCCGAGCTGGTCAGGATTCCCACCATGGCCTGGGCCGCGCTCCTTGTGGTGCTCACATACTGCTCAGGTGCTCCTCGGGCAGCACTGATCTCAGCCTTTCAAGCCAAGGGGCCTGAGAGGTTATTCTCCCCTCACTTCCCCCTGGAGCTTTCTCCAGCTGTGCATTTATTCCAGTGTCTTCATTTCTTTCAGGATCCCTTGCTGAGCATGTGCTGGTACAGCCGCCCGCAGTGTCTGTGTCTCCAGGACAAACTGCTCAGATCACGTGCAGCGGAGAAATGCTTACAAAGAACTATGCACAATGGTACCAGCACAAACCTGGCAGCGTCCCCAAGCTTGTGATGTACAAGGATACAGAAAGGCCCTCCGATGTCCCTGACCGATTCTCTGCGGCCAGCTCAGGTACCACACTAACACTGACCATCACTGGAGTCCAAGCAGAGGATGAGGCTGATTATTACTGTCAGAGTGGTGAAAGTGGCAGTCTGCACAGTGCCACAGGGCAATGGGGAAGTGAGACACAAACTTCTGGCTGTCCCTGTGGATGTGTCAGTATATTCGTTCTCAGGTCACTGAGTGGTGGCTCTATGGAGACAGAGGGATTGCTGTTCAATGCCATCCTACAGTTCCTGTAAGGCCAATTGGGGTGCAGGATTTCTCCACAGTAACCCTGGGAATGACCTCCCCTCACAGCCCGGAGAGCTCTCATGTGAGAAAGCGAACCAGAGAAACAAAGGACCACCTAACTCTACTGCTCTGCCAGCAGGTCATGGTTTATTTTTTGTTATAGTGTTGATCAGAAGATCAAGAGCAGCTCCCAGACACACAAAGCTGGATTCCCCACTTAGAAGGTGGGAAATAGGGGGATGCCTGGAACCACAAGGAGAGGCTACACAGAGAGATGGTTTGCCAATCTCAGGTTGTGTTAATCCACATCAGGGCAACTGCAAGAGCCCATATTGCCTCCAGCAGTGCTGGAAATA